GAGTTTGCAGAATACAATGTGAACAAATGACAATCACGAGGGTTCAGATTCTGCGATCAGAATGTTTTTTGGTTGCAAATCAAAAAAATGATAATTTCCGCGGCAGAAATCTTTTTTTCAAACTATCGCAGCCATTTTTTTTAATAATTTAAGTCAGTTTAGCACTCGTTTGCAGTTTTGAGTTTTGTGATTCACGCCATTTAAAGAGGTCACATAAACCCCAATGACATTTTCCCTTTAAAATGCGTTAATTTTCCTTCTCATAACAATATTGCTATGACCCTCTCCTTCTCTCTTGCATTGTAGATACACGACACTATTCCCCGGGGTAACAAAAACGCTTCTCGAATCAAATGGGGAAAATGTAAATTTATGGAGGAATCAATTATCAAATTATAAGGCGCGACTTTTAAAAGAATGGAGTTTTTTACAAATAGTCAATACCATTTGCCATAGTTAAGAAGCAGATTAAAGGCCTGCTCTAGATGCAAATATTAATGTTTACTTTGCTTACGACTTTTTATTACGTGTGGAATAGACGGATGGACCAACTGTGAAAACGACCTGAGCAAAGGCGTTTGCTGAATTAACTGCTGCCTCATTGTCTCCATACTCCAGTATGCTTGTCATCGGTCCGAAGGAAGAAAAACAATGCAAGTAGGGATGCGGCTATAAGAAAGATGAATGATAGTCTTAGCACAACTCCTCTTACCCTCCTCGCCAATGTGAACACATTGTCGTCCACTGGATTTGCTCTCTATGCCACCTATCTGCTAGTGATATTATCAGCGATATTTATGGATCTTTTATTAGTTTTACTTGGACGGCCTTCTAATATTTATTGAGTGTCCCTGTATAGAGCATTGACTTTACTAATGCAAATCGTGTTTGCGTATTATTTTAAATGCTTGTATCTTAACCCAAAAAGGCCTGTGCATAGATCAGACAATTCACGCTCTGAATGCAGGGAGAAATTACCACTGTGGTGATAGGATCGAAAACTACCACAGAGGGTGGCATCATTGACAGTGAAATTGGTGCTTGGCGTTTCATCACCACTAAGCTTGTGTCATCGCTGCTTTCACCAAAAATCGGAGGACCGCCTACTAAACCCACACACACAACACTTATCGTCTCTTAACTAGAGTAATGGTGGTATCCATTCTGACCCAAGATGCATGGGTCGCTTGTGAGTGACTGGACACGCCGGCCACGGCACACGAACTCTTCGTGCATGCTCTGTTGAAGACGGCGATTTAACTCGCATGCGCTTCAGAAAATTTGGCTACTCCACTTTCATTCGAAGTGTAGGAGGTTAGGAAGGTTCGTTGGGCTTCGCAGTTGGTCACATGACTTATCTTATTGGTAGACCTCGGTGATTCTGTCTATAATTCATTATGCAGAATGGATCAGTTGCCCAACATTGCCCTTTGCAAATGACAACTCTACATAGTTGAGTCACTAAAGGTTACTTAGATCTGACTGTGAGTAGGTGGATCCAAAATGAGAACAGATCTGAGGTTACAAGAATGAACGGATTTGAGATCGATGCACTGGAAATAAACAACTTATGAATCTTACAGCTCTTCCCTTCTCTGGCATGGCTTTCGCATTTCTCACCCCTAAGTGGTGAAAATGAGATGCTTTCTTTGACAACAGAAGGTTAAATAAATAAAGATACCATTTTAGGTAGGTGGCACTGTATATAGAAAGAGCGTTAAACATTCAGCTAGATAATGTTGACATGGCTTCAGTGTCCCAGACTAGCACTGTCTGCAAAGCAAGGCTGCATCAAGAAATCTTCTCTCTGACTGGTGGCTTGTAACTGTAGCAAGGGTGATAAGGAAAGGCAGTCCTAATGAACTGGTCACGATTCATTGGGCTCTTGCAAAACCCTTCTTGAATCCCTCCACATTGTCCCTATCCATTGAAGACCAGAAGCACCTTCTCAACCATTAAGCGTATAGTTCAGGCAAGAACGCACACACCTAGGCACACAAAAGAAAAGAGCAAAAGAGTCCGCCTTGTGCACAAATGGCAAGTGTTAGGCTAAATTGTCGAGCTCTAAGAGACGTGATTCCTACCTTTGCATTGTCTCACTTGCCATGAGAATGGGTGTTCCGGTGATGCCCTACTTCTTTGGAGATGCAGCCTTCCCGCTTTGTCGAATGACAGGGTAAAGTCCGTGATTAGAGCAACAATCACGTTTGACCTCTGCGCACACTGTCGTGGCCCCGATGCAGGTGCGAAAGTAGCCAAACCCATAAATAATTGTGTGGTTATTGCGGAGCTAGTGCAATTCAAATAGGTAGCCAAATTTACGTAATTTTGTTGTGACTGCCTGCCTGCAAGGCAATCCCGCTGAGAAAATTGAGTTTCTTAGGAAGAGCGCTTGACAGATACATGGCAAGGTGCAATTATTGCCAAACGGAAGGCGGTTGGCACACCAAGTGCACACAATAACAGCCAGTGCAAACGAAAAGCATTAAGAAAAATAAGAGAGCAGAGTGACAGACACCGCCTACGGCCCTACACATGGTGAAGCACTGCAGTAAGGAGTAGGCAAAATTCTGTCTAGGGGTTGCGAAGCACATCTCTGTTTGACCGGGAGAAATTCAGAATCTACAAGCCATAGTGACGCGGATAATCACAATCCCCTCTTCACGTCTATTCTCTCCTTCGCAGCCTAATCCCTAATGCCTGCCAAATCCACCTACGAAGGAATGGATATTTTAGCACTACACCTCCCTCATTCTGCCGCACGCTCATCATTTTGCCTCCATTCACAATCCTCTCTACCCCGCCTGCTGCACTGTTGCAAATGCATGGATGTCTGCGAACGATAAAAAGGTCGATTTTGTTTCTACTACGTACATTGAGAACTGCTGCAAATGTGTCCTACAAACTTACAAAACATATGAAAACATCAACATCTAGGGAAATAATCACCACATCTGCAGTAACTTATGCGAAAATGAGTGAGATTGTGATTGTGTACGTGTGAGCATGGACGCAAGAAGTGAGGGTGACACTGTCAAAGTCTACATATATGCCCGAGGCTGCTTCTGCGTTCGTGTTCTGTTTTTCATATTTGGGTATTCAAGTAAATTTAAGTCCCCAATGGATGTTGCAGATTCCTACGACTCCATTGTGGTAAGCTCAAAACATGAATTAAGCCCTCACTGATGCACGATTCGCGGTAAGAGAAGGCACATATTTTTGTTGCATCACATAGAAGGCGAAAAAGTCACCATGACCCCTGTCGTGGCAGGCATCCTGAATTACTGAGCACTGAAAGAAGAGCTAATGATAGCATTAACAATGTTGAGGAAGGCAGAATTTCATTCTGATGACAAAAGGGAATTGTACCTAGCTCATTCAGTTCCACAGAGGAATGCACATGCTTGCATTTGCAATCAATTACATTTCATCAGTTCCGAACAACTCATGCGGGGTGGAAATGGGGAAAGGCAGATTCCAAACACATCCAAGTCAAATTGGCGCTACCTTTTTGGGTACTTGAAAATATTCAGCAAGTAAGTTATTCAATCATGCATTTAGTTTCTAAGTAAGGCATTGATTAACTGAGCTGGTGATGCACTAGCTACCATTGAAGTCACTCAATGTTAGATGTGACTGGTGTTGAAATCTCCTTTCTAGTGATACAAATTTAAACACTTCAACGCATTTATAAGTGCACAAACAAATATTACATCAGGTCTGCAATACACAGTAAAGCCAAGTAAGCACACTCGAGATAGCCAGTGATACCTTAATATGATTGGCGCCGCGGCAAAATTTAGCGTATCAGACAGAGCTTTCCGCACACCCAAAAATGTGGGTATGTGAAAAGCAAAGAATTTATTGAAAATTAGAAAAATCAATATACGCGAAAATGTCCTCTAGCCAACGTTTACGATAATAATAGTAATTCCTCAACTCCTCAGTCGAAAGTTTACACATTACCTCTTACAGGAATATGTGAAAGTGTGGTTATCACCAAAGGTGACTGATGAATAGACCAGCACATGTATTTAAGATTTCTTTAGAATTAGCACAATGAATTGTTTATTTTTATGGTGTAGGGAGCGACCTATATGAATCTACTTGTTCCTTTAATCCCAAACATTTTAACGGCATTTTCTCATTTAGTGCCTCTAGCTAACATCGATAAGTTTGCTGCCCTATAGCATTTCCTTTTGGCTTTCAGTATGCATGTTGTGACCTGTCAATGTTTAGCTTCTTGCAAATTTTGATAACGAGTTCACGCGATTTGCATTGTCACAGTGCTAAATGATGACCATGGCCTTATTAACTACCTAACTAATAGCAAGGCAATTTATATTTAAAATGACTTGACTGTTTTAATATTCACAATAAAACAGAAAGTCTAAACTCATAAAGTACTATTAAACATTACAATATTTGGCTGTGGTATACGGTAGGGTTTCAAACCAAACAATGGGGTAGAAAATAGCAGCTCAACTAGCCCTGAGGGACAGTCATCATTGCAAATCCATCAATTAAAACGAAGATAACGGGATTAAGCAGAAACTTATAAGAATTCGGCTTAAATTGTCAAGTGCTTAAAGTGCATTTCGCTAAGGAAGATTTATGTTGGGTAGTAGCTGAGATTTAATTAATTTCGTTTTCTTTCGCCCGGATGTGTAGTTACTTGGACTTCACATCTTAGAGCGACCTACAAAATATGACGACTCCTTCCGGTCCACCGCATTTACCTCCAAGAACATGTCAGCTTTAGCAGCATAATTCGTGTTTTTTTACTGTTTTTACGCTAGTGTTCGTTGTTCTTTTACATTTCCGCTTTTGTGTATTACACTGTATAAAATATAGTTTCTAAAATGCTATTTTCGCCATCTTAGCATTTTATGCGCTAGTTTGGCCCATTTATGGATTAATAATACTACAAGTACCACGACTATCTTTGCACTTATTCAATGCTAATCAAATCTGCTAGATCAGGACCCATTCCAATGCCGGAGATGTGGAAAGTGTTTTTCTGTACGCGCACA